TTCTTTTTTTTTTTTTTTTGAATTATCGTTTTCAATGGTTTCCAGTTGAGCTCTTCTCAAAAGCCTTTTCAGAGGTAATTTTAGGTGATTTGTTGCTCTTGAACTGAACCTGCTCTCTGGCCATGCGGGTGTTGAATGGCAGCTGTGAGCTCCTTCAGGATGAGGGCGGCCGTTTTCTCTTCTTGGAACAGTTTGTCCTGCCTGTCTGCATGTCCTGTATGTTATTTAAAACACTTCTTCATCTAAAGCCAACTTCAACTCAAGAAACTAGAAATGGGCCGGTCGGATATAATGCAGGCGGTTTTGCACCACTGATTTTGGGAAGTCAGTTGAGTTACTTTGAAGATCTGCTAGTAACTAAATATGTTTCTCTACTTTCTAGATCGGTTAGAAATTCAGCAGATTTTTCTTTTTTGTTTACAAACTTCAGATATCCGGTTCGGGCAAGTCGAGCTTAAAACCATCTGATTTCGTTCACCAGCTGATTTTTTCTCTGCATTTCCTTTGCAGGTTGTGTAGAATTAAGCTTCTTTTAGCTTTTACTAAAAGCCAAAAGATTCTGGCGTGTTGATTCTGGTCAAACATGACAGATTGAGGTGAAGCATAGTTGGAGAACAAAAACAATAAGTGAACAGTCCTTAGAAGGAAAATGTTACTAAAATAAGCAAACCCCTCCAGATTACTGGACAGATGTTTTTATATGGCTCAGGAGTTGGAAGTTTGTCTGGTAACCAGCGGTTTGCCCCCCTTAAACTCCCACTGTGTTCGTCTCAGTCGTTTTACCTGGCGCTGATTGAATGCTTCGAAGTCCTCTGGACTTGATAAAGTGCTGTACAAGTAAAGGCCACTAACAAAATAAAAAAATACTGTGCATTGTAAGAAGAAAACTAGTGTCATTTCTGAACTGCTGGTCACCGAACCGAGTCTACTAAGCTATAAAACTTGCAAGTTTAGACATAAATAGGCTTGTTTCAATTTTTATAAAAAAAAAAAAGGGCCGTATTGATTCCGTTAAAACATAATGGGGCAGATTTTCGTTTTACCCTCGCAGCTGGGATATGAACCATCTCCGATACTGCATCACCTTCTTCGTCTCTGAAAAACTAATGCTCAGATTTTCAGTTATAGTCAACTACACCAGATGATATAATGACAATAACGTAATCAGTTTCAAAACCATGTTTTTTTTTCCACTTCAAAAGCTTGAAAAATTGCTTCCTCTATCTCACCAGCTTTGTCATTTTACAGATTTACTTCTTCGCTGTGAACAGATTTTCACTCACTGGCTTTAATATCTCTGCTTATAATGAAGAGCGGATTAGCTTCTGATCACGAAGCAGCAGCAGTAGCACCTTGGACAGTGCTTTGTCTGCTTACTGCACGTTTTCTCTTTTTTTCTCCACTTTTTTTTCTTCTTCCTCTTCTTCCTTTAACTTTTGTCACATTTTCTAGCGCGACTGTGACTTTTGCCACGTGAGGCCAACTTTGCTCACGTGTCCCCCACTTTTTCATCCTCAGCAATGGTCCCATATGTTTGTAAAATAAATAAAATAAAAATAAAAAACGTGTGTGCCGTGTGCTTTTCCAGCCCGATTTGTTCCCATGCCTTCTCTCCGATGAGCCCCGCTCTCCCCGGGGGTCCGAGCCGAAGCCTCACGCTATTTATACAGACTGAACAGCTGGGGCCCTCCCAGCCAAAACAGTGAGGGATGGGGGCGGGGGTCGAAGGGGTTGGTGGAGAAACTAACATGGAGAACTTCAGGTTTAATCAAGCGTTGGAAATGTCTCTCTGTTCTCTCTCTTTTTTTTTTTTTGCTTCCGTCATTTGTTTCTCTCTCCCCCCGGAGAGGCCGGGTCGTGTTCAGTTCAAGTCTGCTTGACCCACGGACAAACATCACTCTGTGTCTGAGTCTCCATTGTCCCACTTTCCATTGATCTTCAATGCATCTTTCTTCACACTTCTGTTTGTAAGTGAGATTGTTGAGTTGGACAAACGCTACAAAACTTCTGTTTTCCTCTCCTCTGTGACTCTTTTTGGTGCTCATCTTGTCCAGAAGTCCGGTGAAGTTTCACCGACATGAGGCTCTGTGATTTCAGTGCTTCCTCACACGAAAAGCTCAGGAAGAACAGTGTGCACTCTGCCCTTGCTTCCTTCACTTCGAAGCCTGTCTCATAGTCAGGCGTCCCATCGCAGGCATGCTGAGCTAATGAGAGGTGAAGAGAAATTAACCAAATTGCCGTAAGGGACAGATATATAAATTGTATTGGATGTAATGAGTGCAGATACATTCATTGGCTCTCTTCGAAGTTTTCTAATTGAAACAGATGAAGCCACACTGCGATTTGGTTTACATTATTTGTGTTCAGATAAAACCAAAAAATTACCAGCCATTTTTTTTAACCATAGTTGAAGAATGACAGCTTTATAAAGAGCTACGTGTGTTTGCGGTGATGTGCAGAGTTTGTTGTCCGCTGAACTTATCGTCATCTGTAACAGTCAAAAAGCTCTGGTTTGGTCTCCTTACACCACATAGCTTCCTTGCCGTTTCCCACATGCCTTTTGACAAATTCTGCTCAAACCTTGATATGAAGTTTCTTCAACAGTGGATTTCTCATAGACACTGTTGACCAGTGAAGAATCCAGCCAACACGTGTCGTATGCAGAGTCTCTCCCCTCTCAGCCAATGAAGTTTGTAACTCCTTTGGCGTAGTCATGGGTTTTCTATGGCCAAATTCCACATGTAACCTTTCATTTCTTGATTTAGTGAACTCCCCGAGGATGTTCAGATTGTTAGTTTTTTTTAAGATGGCGCACATATCCAGCTAAAATCTGTTCATACTCTTGCTGATGATAACTTGATGTAGAAGAACTTGTTAAAGTGTGAGGCTAAACATTAAGGGATGGATCATATTGGATTTTTGGGCGATATCCGATATGCTGATAAACTAAAACTCATTCGGTCGATAGTCAATACCAATATTTTTTGCCTATAATTCTCTTAATTCTCTACTGTGGACAATTTAGCCTGCTACCAAAGGCAAATGCTAAAAAAGGTAAAAAGGAGGCTGAAAATGATGTAACACTTCAACTTACTTTATGTTTAGTGTCAAATTTATTCATGACGTTTGCTCTCTCTAAGACAATGACAACACTCAAACAGTGCAAATTTGTAAACCTTCACAAAACTAAACTCAACCTGTTCACAAGCAGCAAGTGAAAAGTACATCAGTTGTGTTTTAATAAGTTTCTTATGACATTGTGCTGCAGGCATCATTGTCACTGGTTTGTCATATAAAAACAACAGCTTTTATATTGGTGGATTAGTTTGATGGAATGACCGATGTCCGATATTAAATTTTACAGCTAATATCGGCCGATAATATTGTGCATTCCTATAAACATTAGCATGTTTGCTTTCTGTTTTCAAGGCAAATTTCAATTTGGTTCAATTTTGGTTCCAGTTTTCTGTGTTAGGTTTTTATTGAAACTTAATACAGAAAGTTGACTTCCTCTTCAAACTTTGCACCTTGGTTTGAACGTCGTAAATTTGAATGGCTCACAAATCAGTTGCTCTCTGCACATCTTCCAAGGGACTTTTAAGGATATCTAACCAACGCACAGCAGGTTGGATGACTTGCATAAGAGAGAGTCTCTCTTCCCTCATCAATGCCATTGCCAAGCATAAAAAAAAAAATAAATCACTTGAACTCTTAAAAAAAAAACAGATTTGTTTGTCATTTCTAAAATATATAATACAGTTTTGTGATCAAAATGTAAATAGGCTGACTTCTTTTTTTGTTTTTCGGGTAGAGTAAAATGAGGCATAGCAAGTCACACAATTAAAGAAATCACAAGTATTGGGAGTTGAGTTGAGTTTTACGACACATCAACAGATAGCCTGACATGCCAAATATCCGACACTGCAATTGAAAACCTGCTTCAGCATAAAAAAACATTCATGCATAAGTGGTGACTTGTAGACGTAGAGCCTCTCCTTCCCACTGAGCAGTGAGAAAAAATGCTTAGACTGACAGTTGTCCACACACAAGCGGCAACCTCCAGTTATAATAGGGAACCCAAGTCACAATTTGAATATTTGCAATTTATCACTCAACGTTTATACATTTTGCCCTTTAAAATCACAAAGCTCCTTTTCAGCAAAAATATAGAATGGCATTAGAGCGATACTGTGTATCTGTGTCAATTATGCAGTGATATTTGAAACTGTTTGTTAATCCAGATAGGAGTACTTTGAAAGTGAGCGAAAAACCATGAAAGTGGAGATGAAAGAGACAGAAAGAAAAACTGGAAGCGAGGCGTTTTCCTCCCTGCTTGTCCAAGTGGCTCATGTTTACCTTACCCTTTCCAATGGCACTGAAATGTTAATCTGATATGAAATACGCAATATAAGTCATTGACTTACAAGTTATTCAAATCTTGACAGTCCCTTGAGCAAAAAATAAAAAGGATGATGGTTGATGTACATTTCATCACTTCTTTGTATTTTACATAGTGCAATCAGTTAGTCCCCGTCACTGACGCAGAGAGTTTTCAAATGTATTTGTTACTGTATAATCAGGAACAGTCCCAGAAAATGGTCTTTTCAGTACGCCGATAGGTTCTTATGAAATTGCGCAACATCTATTGATAGTTTTTGTTTTTTTTAGGAAGTGGAGGTTTGACCTGATTTACTTTTATGGAACAGTCATGACCACTTTACTAATCAGATCAATAATTGTCTTTTGGTAAAAAACTTATAGTTATGTTTTGTGGAGTTTAGTCATCACTTTTGTCAAAGAAAACATGATCTATAACGAATTAAGTGGGTACAAACAGATGAGGGAATGACAGCCAAGGCATTTGCTTCGTGTTTAATATCAATTATAATACAGGATACATGTTCAATAACTTTTTTTTCTTCAGCATTATTAAGAAGAGTAATTTAATATTAAATCTAATGCAAATTCTGGTTGCTTTATCAAAACAAACGACGTCAGCTAAAATTAGTTTTTTTGGGTTAGACTACATAACCTCCTCTTGCTTTCTCTGATTGCTTTGAAAAAAAAAATCCAGCGTGGAGTGTTTGTGTCAGCACTATTTTTTTTTTCCATCTTTAAACAGCAAGAAAAAAAATCCTTCTTGTGCACATTATCATCCATGTCCCAGAAACTCTGCAACTGTAACAAGAAGTAATAGAAGTGGAAAAAAAAAAATCACTTGTTAGAAACAGCATCTGTGCATCTTTAATTAGAGTTAAATGACCCAATGTAATTGGACATTGGCTAACTAAACACCCTCACAGCCCCTTCGCTAGAAACCTGCTTTAGTCTAAATTATTTTAGTAATAGATTCTCATTAGTTGAGTACAAAGTGAATTTTCCGTGACTCCTCCAATGTGTAACACCACAATAAATGAATTCGGTATATATTGCATGCATGTGTGTGCTGTGGTTCAAGCACTTTGAAAATATTTCATCCATTTGACCTAGTCTTGCCAAATGAACCTTAACAAAAACAAGTTTAAAGGCGTCCTTCCTTGTAGAGGAAATGATGGTCTGCTACAAAGTATTATACAAATGTTTCTTGTTAACATACTTCTTTACTTCATTGTCATGTTTAACTGGTTATATCATCAAACGCATCGAGATATCAAGCAGCGATAAAATTCAAATGCTAACTTCATTTATCAAGGGAGAAAAACCTTTTCTAAGCCAGCCTGGTTATTATGAATAAACTGTTAAATTTCTCTGTCTAAAAGGAGACAGACATGAAATACTCCTAAAGATCTCAAAAAGTTATTAATTTTAACTCGAGAAATTCAACAACAATAAATGAGAAACAAAGTTAATATCTATCAGTCTGAAAACGTCTTCAAAGCCTTTTTTATGCCAGTTTGGCAGATGTAGTTCAACATTTTTTGCGAACACTAATTTGTTCATGTTTTATTGAGATGTCGCTACTGGTCAGATCGCCTCAGTTTTTTTAGTTTTAAGAAATCATAATTATTTTCTTAGCCGTAACCAAAAGGAAACAGTAAAACCACAGCCGGTGCTGCTTCAAAAGCTAAATACACAGACAAACTAGTTTTTGATCTGTAAAAAGAGAAAGTAACACAGCTGATGACACTTTCGATGTTATTCCATTGAAAGCTAACCTACTTTAAAGGTCAACTTGTCTCCCGAACAGAGTTCTACTAGAATACTTTAAAAAAAAACTCACATGCTACGGTAAATTTCTTGCCTTAAATGAAATACAAGTCATGGCAAAACACATGATCTCCTCCTATCAAACAGTTTATGCTTTACAAATGTGTCAACATGCGCACTCGTCTGTCAAGAGCGTTTCCTTTCTTTGCCCTCCAGTGCTTCCCCTCAGCGCCCTGAATGGGGTGGCTAAATGCTAATGAATCTTTTATTGCGTCCTCTGTGAGATTCTGTCGCTTTTAATTGATAGACAAATGAAAAGCATCCGGTCCGTGTTGCTCGTCTCGTGTTAAACATAACTGGAGGGCCTCCACTCAAGCGGCAGCAGCCATTGTCCACGGCTATCAAACACCCATTAGGCCAGGCGCCAGTTGCTTGTCAACTCTGGACGTCATTCACCACCGCATTCACTCACACAATTATTGCTAAGCGACTTACTGAGTGACAGCATCTCATACTGATTTTTTATTTTTTTGTCAATCTCTCCATCACCCCTCAATTAACAATGCAGTTTTGCCTTTGGCCTCTTTGCTCTTTTTTCTTCTTTTTTTTTTTTTGTCGTTGTTGTTGTTGTTGTTGTTGTGGGCGGCCATTAGCCATGCGGTGGCAAACAGACACAAAAATGTTGGCACCCGAACGGCGGCCCAGGAGGGGAAGCGCTTAGATTTCAAAGGGTGGTCGACTCTGTGCATGCATTGCTGATGAGGCGAAAGAGGTGGGCTTTCTGGCGTGGGCCGGCCTCTCGGTGTGAAACGGTGGGTGAGTGGAGGGCATTGGCAACGTCAGGGTGTAAAGACGGACGAGGATTTGGAAGAGTCAAGTACCGCTGAAAGGGGAAGTTGTTGGTGGTCTGTGGAGTTGCATGCAGCTGCCCCTGAAAACAAATGGAAGAAATAAGGGAGACAGGAAAAAAAAAAGAAAGAGGGGTTGGGTGGTAGGGGGGCAGTAGAGTCCGGTGGAAGGCGTGCAAGCTCCTAACTTTTTTTTTTTTTTTTTGTCTTCTTGTGTTAATCTGTTGAGAAAAAGCGTGAGGAAACTTGGCCGAGGGTCCCCCCCCTCACCAAACCTCCCCCCCACTTTACTCCGGACAGCTAAACTTGAAGTTGAACACCCCCGCCATCACCGCCACCATGGGTCCTCCTCTCTCCCACTTACTTGCTCTGTATTCTGTCTAGGTGCTGGAGTGACAACGAGCCATTCATTATGGAGGTAGAGCAAAAAAAGACTCTGGATCTTTCCTGTGTCTTTTTTTGGGAGACGGTGGGAGTTGGAGGGGACAGGGGGTTTGCAGGGGCTGGTAAAGTGGGAGGTGTACTGCTAAACAGAAGGAGGGCAGGAGTATACTCCTGAAATGGAGAAATGTGACAGATAAGAGGAAATGTAATGAGTTAGAGTGGAGAGAAAAAAGTAAGAGAGGGTTGAGTAAAGAGTAAGGTGCAGAGGGAGCGAGAGATGGAGGGAGGGGAGGGAGGTCACGATTGAGGTTTGAGGCAGAACTGGAAGCACAGAAGGAAGGGAGGGGGAGAGAGAAAGAGAGAGAGAGAGAGTGGGCTACCATGCCGAATGAGCAGGAGAGGCGGAGAGGAAGCAGAGCTCCATCAGATGAAATGAGGTGAAAGTAATTCAGGCATTAATCAAGCCAGGGCAAAAGGGAGGGTATACTGTTTTCTCGCCCCCCACCCCCTTTTTTTTTTGCTGCGGAACTGAAAGACAAGGTGTGAATGAAGGAGCCTACAGTGGCCAGCAGAGAAGCACCACCGGGTCACAGCATCAAATCATGTCCGAGTCGAACACCGTCACGGCTTCCACCGCAGACCAGGTCAGTTAAAGCTGTCTTCGTGATTGTATCTTTGTTTTTTGGCTCGTGAGCGTGCAGATATTCCTCCAGCGTTACAGCTGTAACCCTCACGCCGGCTCGAGGACCGGGAAACGGTCACCCCCTTTGGGTCTTTGAAGAAGTTCCGACAAAAAAAAAAAAGAAAAAGTCCCAAGATCCGGTGAGATGTATATCATCTTTAGATCCGAAATCGGAAGTTGCGAGGGTGAGTCTCCAAGAGCAACTGTGAGTGAGTGTGTTTCTTGGACTTTCAAAGCAATGATTGTTTTTGCTCAGAGCTGCCTGGACAACGGTACAGGGTCCTGAAAGAATTGAATTCATCAAGACGAGCTATTGTCTACGTCGCCTTATTTTTCGGTGATCATTCAGGGGGTCGGTGACGACTCAATACCCCCCACACCACGTGAGGAGGGGAACGCAGCTCTTTAAAAACCCGACCACGTGTGGCGGCCCTGAAAAGTTTTATAAGTAATTGCAGTGGGAAGTCCGGGCAGTGCTGTGAGAGACGGGGTTGGTAAGGAAGTGGGCCGGTCTGCCGTGTGTTTGGGGGGGGGAGACAGAGTGGGTTTGAAAGAGAGCAGAAAAGGCAGATATTTATGCCCCCTCCCCATCCCTCCATCAGCCCCCCACTGCCACTTCACAGGGAGCTTTAATTGCACGCTTTGGCACATCATCCCCTCGCTCCGCTTTCTTTTATTAACAGTCAACTTGACTGAAACAATTAAATCCTGTGATCTGTATAAGATAAGACGTACAGTTACTTCCATTATGGCAGGTGAAGACAAAAAAAGAGAAAAAGGGGGAGGGGGTGCGTTTGTGGGGTGCGCACGCTGCTGTGTTAGTGTGTGTGTGTGTGTGTGTGTGTGTGTGTGTGTGAGCATCCGACCTCGCTGCCGGCATACATTGTTAGCCAAGTCCTTGTCTCCTGTTTCCGCCTGCTACTCTCAAGGCTGAGTCAGCTTGGTGTAGTTCTGGAGGCACTCGCACACACATGCACATGCAGATTCTTACCTTCAAGCATTTACACAAACACTTCGAGCCTTTTTGTGCGCTAACACAACAAATACTACAGTACAAATAGCTGCCCGCCTGCAAATCGAAGGGATAAGTTGTGGGTGGAAGAAGGATTTTTATTTAGATATCCATAGTGTGTGTGCACAGTGGTAGACTTTGGAGTGTGCGTGTGCGTTTGAGTGTGCTAATCCAGCAAATCTGGACAGTTTAGATTTGCTAACAGGCGGGGACCATATTTGTCCACAAGCGTTGAGTGGCAGGACTGTAAGTCTTTGAGACTGACAGGTAGTGCTGCCTGTCCATATGGATCCACATTTATATTCATAATTACTGACCCTTTCTTTTCTTAGTTTACCATAAAAAATAAATAAATAAGATGTTTTCGGCACTAGATTACGAGCTAATCGCTGACTGGGCAGTTATTCATGCCTTTTAAGATGACATTTGTTCCTGCCTTCCTCAACTCTTTACATCAGTTTTATATTTTCATTCCAGTCTTTGAAAGTTTTAGAACAGTTATTCCCCCTCCATTTGTGTTTCACGTTTTAGTTACAATTGATCTCGTTCGCCACATGAAAAATGCTTATTAAACATTAAATCTTCTCCAGGAGATGTACTGTACCTTTCAAAATTTTGCGGCTGATCTCCAATTGGGGTATTTGCAAAGCTTTTCCCATACCAATTTCATTCTGTTTCCTCTCTAAGAACTCTGATGGAGATTTTTCCAGCTTTCATGCTGTTAATAGTCGATTTTTACGGCAGCAGATGTGATGTTGCAACACTGATGACGAGAGAAGAGTTGTAAAACGAGCTATCACCGTCATTTCAAGTTGACATTTTAGACTGGATGTAGCTGTTAGTGTGGTTAGCACAGTGGACAGCGTCTCCTACAGAACCTAGATCCTTATTCGTGGGTTTTCTAGCAGACACGTGTTGAAAACATGTTTGCTGTGTTCTGCTCAGCCTCTGTGTTATCTGCTGATCGTCTTGCTCACGCTCGCTTCACGGACATCTCCACGTATTTCCTGTTGAAGTGGGGAAAACATTGTGTATTTTTCAGGCACATAATTCCATTTTATAGCAGAATGTCAACAATCTCACCTGTAGTGGTTTTAATGTTGTTGTTATATATATCAAACATAACCTAAAATAATTTCGACTTCCCAATTTGATGCTTTGAAATTGGCTTTTCTCTGTCAAAATATCCTGCTCCATTCAAGTCTCCTCTGTAAAAAGTAGTTTTTATATAATATCCTAGATTTAAGTATTTTCTTTAATGTCTGTTTACGTGTAGTGATAATATAAACAATTATTTTCCTTTAAAAGGTTTAGTCTTTGAACACTGCACTTCAAATGAAACTATATAATAAGTCCAAAATGCTTCACTCAACCGCCACATTTTAAACTGTTACGAAAAACTTAGTTTGATTTCAGACGCTCACCAATCAAGGCTGATAAAACTGTTTGGTTTTGGCCGTTTCTTGGTGTGTCTCTTTTATTCTAGCTTCATTTCCCTGCACATTATTTAAAATACATCAACATTGTTGAAACATAAAATACCCTCACTGTGTTTATCAATTGATTTGTTTAGCCAGGTCTTAAACTTATCGCATTTAATTTTTTTTTTCTGTTCCATAAAGTATCAACCAGCTACACATGTGAACCGTTTGATTTTCACTTGTTCAGTTTTGCCTTACAACACCTTGATGTTCACGTTAAGCATTAACAGATTGCATTTTTTTTTAAATGCAGAGTCAAAACATGCTTTGCTAAATGAGTGGTGTGGGATGTTCTTCTCTGCTTCGGGTGATTTGTTGCGTGGATGTAACACGGATGGACTTGAAAGCGTCTGTTTTGCAGACGCTTTCTGCAAAATGAAGAGAAAATTGTTGAATTGTCTGTTGTTGAGGAAAACCAAACTGCAACTCTGAATACTGGGTAGCTCCACCAACCCGAGGGAGTGTACAGCATTCGTCTCAGATGGTGTGACGTGGAGTAAATCTGTCGTGTTTGAGTCGGCACTGAACGATGGTTCAGCATCAACGGTCGACGACTGTAGAGAAGGAAGAAAACATTGTTTTTCATTTGTCACCTTTGTAGGTCACACAGTGACCTTTGGTGGTGCAAGTTGGGATGAATGCGGAAAGCGTTGAATTGGGAAATATTTTTTCGGGAAAAGTCTCCACTGGATCCAGAGATCGCTGTGATCTCGCTTCATTTCCTGTCGTCTGCCTTTGCCTGTCACAGTGCCACACCAGGCTCCGAGGTTGCTGATTTAAAAGAACATCAAATCATTAAAAAGGGACAGTGTAAAAAAAGAGCAGCCAGTCAGCAGCGGGTTTTAAAAAAAAATAAAAACAGTTTTTACAGCACATTGTACTTAATTGGTGCTCCACTACGCCTTATTGGTGAAAAAGAAAAAAAGAAAATCATCTCATATTGTCACATAATTATCATTTGGACATCGCCTTTTTTCTTATTACATTCCACTGGACTGATGAGTGTAATTGCGTTTTCTGCAGGTTTGTACTGCCTGAGTTGATTAGGTCGAGTCAAGAGCAGATGGAGCTGATGACGCTGATTGCTTGTGTGCACACATTCAGGCAATTAAAATCCAAACAAAGTGCGGGAGTGCTTCCCTGGTTTTGTCAGAGGTCATTTGATAGCATTTAACTGAACACTGATGAAAAAACCCGAAGATAAACTAACTCCGTCCAGTCGGCAGCTTGGTGCATCTGAGTTAAGCGCTCTTTTGCTCTCGTTATCAAACACGTTGCTCCATCTTATCAAAAGCAATGAGTGTTGCAGTAACGTGTTTAACAAACGTGGTTGAACATTCATAGTTTTACTTCGTATTCCAGTAATTACAGTTTAATTTGTAATAATTGATTTGTACTGATTTTCTTTCTTTTTTTTTTTTTTTTTTATAAACCGGCATCAATCGGTTTTAATCTCTGAGATGATGAAAGTAGTAAAATTTAAAAAAAAATAAATAAATAAAAATTATTATCCGTCTCTTTTCACAAAATGTTTTATTGGTTTTACAACAATCAAATGAATGACTGTGCATGGTAATAAGCCTTGCCGCCAGTAACTGTTGTTTTTCTGCTCTTAGCACAGTGACAGCAAACCGAAAATCTTGAACAGCGCGTACACGAGCTTGATTGGCAGTGCCAAGAACCTCTGCTTGGCTCTGATTGGTTGTTTCTCAACAGGAGGTGTGTATTTCTGCAGATGGCAGAAGGACCACAGGGAGAAGGCAGAGAAGCTCAATTTTATTTATCTATTCATTTAAGACAAAAAATGTTTTACTGTCAGGACATAGTGAGAATTTGTAAAACAAAAGTGTATAAAAATAAAAAGATTTTTTTTTTTTTTTTTTTACAAAAATTGCCCAATGCAGCTTTAAACTTTGAATTTAAATACAAATCCATAAAGGATATGCATAACTTTAGGCTTGACTGTATATTTATTACTATGCATTTTATTTGTTATTTTTGCTAGAATATACAATATAATGGTGACATAAAGTAAAACTGAGAAAATAAAAATACTCAGACAAGTTTTGAAATAGTTTTACCATGATGAGAGCGATTGACGAGAACTGGTTTCCATGCCAATTCTGAACTTATCCTCCATAATTTTCAACATTAGTAAGCTGCGTAGCTACTGTTGGCGGATTTTAGAGAACCATTTAAATCCACGTTGTCAGTCAGAACTCCTTAGCTATTTACTTTGTCAGGTTGCGGGAGCTGCTAGTGGATTAAATATCAAAAATGTTTCAATTTTAATTACATCATCACATAATTTTAAGCCTCTTTTAGGAGGAGCAGGAAGAGCTAATGGACGCCACTATAGTGCAAGAAGCAATGAGTTACCATTATATTTAACCCTTGTGTGTGCGAGGACTGCGGCAAACGTAGAGGACTGTGGCAAATAATACAAGTTTTACGTGTGTGGGGTCGGTT